ATCGTTTAGTTGTTAAATACATTGATGAAACCTTAAGATTTGCTGTTGACAGATAAATATTATGTTAACTCTAAAAGTTATGTAATCTCTCTTACTATCCCTCTCTCTCACACTCTTTCTTTTCTTTTTTTTTTCAGTGATTAGGATTTTGCTACTCCTACTCACATATTGTAACATCAAAGACATATTTATTTATATTATTTTGCTATAGTTTACGGTAATCAAGAAGAAGGTGCAATGATTTCTGTCGATTCCATCTTTAAGATTACATATTCTTGAATACGTTCTTTTTTACTTGTTATTTAAATAAATATAGTTTAAACTATCGTTTAAACTATAGTTAAATAATAGTATAAACTAAACTAAAAGAAGGATAGACCTTTATGAACAATCAGTGAGCTTAAATAAATCAGTTACTCATACCACTTAATTCACGATACGTAGAAGAGAATTTTCCTTGCCACGATAAAGAAATACGTAGCCATCGCGAGTGAAGACACGTCGTTTGTCGACACCTTGCAGATTGTTATCTTCTCGAAAAATTGCGAAAAAAGCGACTGTCGATTATTTTTCTATGATTATAATGCGTTTTCGATTTATTGTATTTTCTCTATATATAACATTACATCAATTTTTGTAGCACTTCAGTTTGGTACAGCAAACATTTTTCTACAAAATGAGGTATTCGGCAGCTCTAAGGGCTTTTTGATAACTGCTTTGGAACGACTTGGCTATCCAATAATATTGGGTGTCCTTATACTGATTATTAATCGGTGCATGCCTAATTTGGTTATATTTTGATTCAAAACGGGATATAAAGTATACGTAGGCCGAACTCAAGTGACCCAATACCTAATAATATTGTGAATATCCAATATATTAGATGACCAATATTATTCGTCCCAATAGATTGGGTGACCAAAATTATTGGGACCCAATATATTGTATTGGTGAAGGCCTAACCGGTATGAAGTATATCATCAAAGCGAAGAAATCTATAATTATTCTTTGACGAATTAGATAGTAACGTACTGCTACGAAGTACATGATTAGATTTATTCAAATCCACAGTAATTCCACCTCAGGCTTTCGACAAGTAGCACTCGGCATCATCAGGAGAACGAATGACAAAGAAGACAAAAATTACACGTATGTATATGTATAAACATGAAAAACGAGAAACGAGAAAAAGATCTGTTTGAATTCTGTGTTGAAAAAATATCTGTTCGTAGAGCATTTTTCGGACAGAAAAACCTGTGCTAAAGGACATATTGAAAAACATCATCCGAAAACCTTTAATTTATGTTTGACTCCATTGAGAGACTTACCATGACTATCATTTGTAAATAAACTTTCTTTTATGATACGTCTCCGCCAAACCGTTTTTAGGCTTAGAGAGTCGACATCTTTAATCCCTTAACTGTTATTGACGTAATATTACGTCAATGCAATCTTCATGGAAAAATGGAGGTTAAACTTTTTTGTTTGTAAATCTTCGCTGATAAATATATATCCTCTACATTCTTCTTCTACAGTGGTTCTACAGTGGTTCAGTACCTTCTGAGCCATAAAAAATGAGCCCCTCATTATTTTCTACTTATCTGATGTTTCTTTAAGACCCTAACGTTAACTTTTTCTTCTGCTATTATTCCAGTAAAAAAGTGCAGCAAAAGTGAGAACAGAGTTGATTTAAACCAATTTTATTTAAAAGTATAGCAAATGGCAAAGAGTACAAAGAGTACAATGTACTCCCCTCAGTACTGTTACAGTATCAATTAAGTAGACAATATAAGTATGTTACGTGGAGAAAGAGAAGGAAGTGACAATAAGAAAATCAAAGAAAAGCAAACAACAACTGAAAATCTAAGAGAGAAAGTATAAAAACGAAAATAAGATAAAGAAGTGATGAAGAACCGTAACGGACACGTCAAACAAGAAAAAGCTGCTGAGGTGTGGGTAATTAAATAGAAAGAAAATTGTCAGGCATGTTTCATAAAGCGTTCAGTATTCATAATATAGGTTATCATCAATTTGTATATTTCTACTAAATCAACCTGTTGAATAGCATTATCTTTGAGTAGTAGTAAGGGAAGAGTAACAGATCATCTGTTAGGCTTCGTTTGTGCAAATCATATTTTAATTGTGTAAGACCTATGCAACAACGACAATAATTGATTTCACTCATGCGCTCTTCTGAAACGGGAAACTTTCGTTTGTGTGCTATAATAATTTTCCTTTTAAATGATTTTATGTTTAAGGTTAACAAGGTTTCCAGTGGTAATTCAGAATGTTCCCGAAATGTTCGGTAGAAAAAAGAATCATCAACCGCTTCCAAATGTCTCTTAGATAATCTTCGTCTATTTGAGTATTGACTACGAAGAGTATATTTTGTTTATGGCCTTACTGGGTTAGAAATTAGTTCAAAAAGATATGATGGTGACTGTTTAACTAAAATACTTTGAAACTTTGTTAGTCTATCTATTCTGAACCAATTCTCAACTGGTTCCCAACTGATATCTGCTAAAACATCCTACACGTTACTTCAGTGTGGTACTGAGCGCTTTGAAGTCTCTTAATATTTATGTCTGATGTGTTTCCGTAGATGATGTCAGCATAAGTGAAACAGGGCATTATGAATGAATTATAAATTATATTTAATGCTTGCCTAGTTGAAATTCTACTAAATAGTTTTAGTAGACCAATAAGTTTGTTTATTCTTAACAATATATAGTTAATATGTTCGCTCCAGTCTAATTTATTTGTTATAATTAAACCTAAATGCTTGTGAAAATCAACATATTTTAAGACGTCGGTATCAAGAGTTAATAAAGGCTTAGTTTTGGGTAAACTTTTTAGAGAGAAACACATAGCTACACATTTATTAGCATTTAATGAGAGCTTCCAGTCTTTCGCCCACTGATTAATAATGACAAGATCATTATCAATCGTTGTTACTGCTCGTAATATATCAATACCTCGAGTATAGAGTGAAATATCATCTGCAAATAGTTTAATAGTACTCATAATACCGTTGCACAAATCATCAATGTACACTAAAACAACAGCGGCCCAAGAACAGACCCTTGTGGAACACCACGATTTATTACATGTTTAGATGAATATCTACCTTCAACCATTATAATAATCTCTCTGTTGGACAAATACTCCTAAACCATTCTAATAATGAACTTGGAATACCCTTAGTTTCAAGTTTAGAAAGAAGACCTCTGTGCCAGACACAGTCAAAAGCTTTGGAGAAATCCAGAAAAACAGCTAAGCAGCATTCTTTTCTATCAAATGCAGAGTAAATATTATGAATAACAGAAAGAAGTTGACTCACACAAGAATCTTTGTGTTTAAAACCGGATTGATTTTCGTTTATTAGCTTATTATCTACCAAATACGCATATAACCTTTTTATAAATTAATCTTTCCAAAACTTGGGATAAAATCGGAAGTAGAGTGATTGGTCGATAATTAGTCGTATCATTATGATTACCTGATCTAAACAAAGGAGTCAAATATCCAGTTTTCTGTGATGAGGGAAACTGTCGTGCGGCGGTTGATTTGTTAAAAACATACGATAAAATACTTGAGATCGACCAAGACGCTTCTTTCAACATTCGTGGAGATACACCTGGTGATGAAGCTTTGAGACAGTCTAATTTATTCAATAGATCAATTAGTTCTGACTCAGAGACTAAAAAAGCTGACATTTTCATTTTACTCTGTTTAATTTGCTTAGGTATTCCATTAGCTTTTTGAGACAACATCGTACATATAGATGCAAAATAATCATTAAGAATGTTAACCTTATCTTTAGAATCCGTCATGAGTTCATCGTTACTAGCTTCTATCGGAGGGACAGAAGATAAGACATTGGCACCTAAAGTATGTTTAACCATTGACCACCACCGCTTTGATTCTGTATTCAAGTCTGTCGACAATTTGCTGTAGAATGAACTTTTTGCTTTCATACATTCAGCTTCGAACTCCTTAGCGATTGTTTTAAAAGACAACCAATCACGCTCATTTTTTGTGGTTTGATAGCGTTTATAAGCCTTATTTTTCATTCTTGCAAGAGAACGTAGATTTTCGGTAAACCAAGGTTTATCCCTTGATGATAGCGTGAATAATTTGTTCGGTATGAACAAATTCGCAACTTCAATAATTCTATTTTGAATAAGGTCAACATCTTCATCAAGAGAGCATCCATGAATTAACTGATGCCAGTTAGTTTCCGAGAGCTCACGACGATATCCATCCCAATCAGTTGCGTTTGGTATTTTCAAATGTGCTCTTCTCATAGACTGTAAAAAAAATATTTAGGACAGATGGTGTGCTCGAGAACGAAGTTTCAAAGATACGTTAAAAATTTGCAACCTCCCCGTTTCCAACAATGTGCTCGAGTAAGAAACGGAAAACAGGATCGAAGTTTGGATTTTGCAGTTACACAGGGAACATTTCTGATAAAAAGCCCAAACTCGGTCAACAAATCTTTTACTTTGTTGGAGTTATTGCACTTTTACTGAAAGTACCACCAAATACAGAATTGATGAAAAAATGCAAGTGAACCGACACAAAAATTATTATTTCACGATGAGTTTGATGTGGAAAAATTTGACGTATAGCTGAAAGAGAGAGTGAAGTCAGGGATCAGTTTTTCTTACTTTCAGAACTTTAACACAAGAAATCGTTTTTGAGTTTAGATAGTTTTCATTTTTTTTCGACTTTCGTATAATTTGCTTAGTTTTCTTGATTGAAGTTCTAAAATTAAAGTTTAGGTAAGCGTTTGTAGAGTATTTCGCGGCGCATCTTTTAAAAATATATTAGCTTTAAGGCCTTAAAGAAACATGAGAAAAACAGAAAATATTGAGAGGCTCATTTCTGATGGCTACCCGGTACTTCACAAAAGACTAAATTAATTTATTTTAATTATTTATTTAAGCAATCCTCAACAGGAGAACCATCTTCGATACATATCATAAGTAATCTACATGTATGTCTGAATGTGTAGACACCATAGATTATTACCGTTTAAATTACTGAAAATTTATTGTTTGCAGTTTGCTATTTAATTTTTCTAACAAAATATAACAGTTAAAGGGTTAAAGTCGAAGGAATGATGTCGTTCGAGGATGTGTTGTACAATTCCTGGTGTCTGAGTAAATTTTCGGATGTCTGCTTGATGTTCCTTCATTCGCACTGTCTTTTCCCTTCCTGTAGTAGTGTTTGTCACAGTTTTTACACGATATACGATAAATTAGTTTTTTTTTTCTATCTTGGTCTTATCCTTTCTGTAGTAGTAAAAATACACTTTTCAGCATAAATGTCTTGCGAAACACGGTTATTTACTTGAACGAGAGGACACATTCTCGAACGACATTATTCCTTCGATTTTAAAGATGTCGATTCTGTAAGCCTAGAAACAGTTTGGCGGAGACGTATCACAAAAGAAAGTTTATTTACACATGAGAGTCATGGTAAGTGTCTCAATGAAGCCAAACATAAATTAAAAGTTTTCGGATGATGTTTTTCAATATATCCTTTAGAACATGTTTTTCTGCCCAAAAAATGTTCTAAGAACAGATAGATCATAGTAGAAAGAGCGAAATGTTTAATTCATAATTAGTATGTAACGGTGAAAGTTCATGTGGTCAAGAAAAACTGAAAAAAACTGAAAAGCATCATGTTCTCGAAGAAAGGTCCGAGTAAAACATGGTGTGATCGGACTGAAAAGAGCCCTGCACACTACTGTAAAATACGGGGTAAGTTATGTGTGACTCTCTTGTAGCAACTGCTTGAATTCTCTGAAGTATGCGCATATTTTTACTAGCCTTTCTATAACCTAAAATACATCATTATTTCAGGGCGTCGTCAGGAATGCGAACTCACCGTGAATTCGTTTTCAGGCAATGTTCTGTTATCCACGTATCTGTTTACAACTATCTGTTTTATCCGTGTATTTATATACATTTCAAGGCTTGCTTGTGACGGTTGTACACTTTTACACTTAAACTTGTTCAGAAAAGGCAGAAAAGCACTAATATATGATAGAAGATCTAGTGCAATGGGAGTACTGCTATATCGTCACTCGAGTTCGCCTCTCGACTCCATTTCGATTCAAAAGATTTAAACTACACTTCCGGATTTCGACTTTTGAATCTGAAATTCGACTTCGTCCTTCACTTGCACAATAAAACACATAACGCTGTTGGTTGTTTCAAGGATCATACAATCATTTCTGCACTCACTTTCACAACCCATCATAATAGGTTTAACTTTACATCATGTTGGACGTTTTTATTATCGTGAAAATGGAAACTGCAATTTTCCAAATGTCGACTTCTTAAATATTTTAATTTTTAAAAGATTTTATTAAAATAAATATGAATTTAAAATCAACTGCTGTTACTATTTTATCAGTTCTAAAATTTTTACTCCTGAACAAACATACCATATTAAGAATATATATATTGTATTGGTATCTCAATTGAAAAGATCTTTAATGTGTTTCATACTCAGTGTTCTTCTGTTGTATAAATATGTTTGAAACACTCTTGGACAGAAATAAAACAAAAATATATTTATAAAAAATGTATATTCAAAATTAGCAAAACCATGAGAAAAAGGTTATGATAGTGAAGAAAGAAAAAATGCAAATAAACTACCTTCCCATATACGCAATGAGTTGGATGATGCATGCACATTGAAATACTTATTTCCGATTAAATTTTAAATTATCAGTACCAGACTAACTTGCTTTATTTCTATGCAAGAGTGTCTCAAAAATATTATATATTATACAGCATTCTTTTCTGGAAATGACAGAAATCAGTCACATTTCTAAAGCAAGAGCATAATGTCTGCTTTTTTTCTCTCCATAATTCTCCTCATCTTTTCATCGGGCTGTACGCAACAAATTCGTTCGTCCTACGTTGATATCATATACGACTCTCAATATCTTCTGTCGAACCAATCTGGTTTCATTCAGAATTATACAAATATCCGACATGCCAGTGACTGTGGTCTCCAGTGTTTACTCAACAATAATTGTCAAACAGCTAATTATGTTTTCATTCAACAGATATGCTCATTGTTGGAAGAAAATTTTCAGATCGGGGTTATATTGGCAGACACGTCAACAACTGTTTTAAGCTTGCAAAAGTGGTCAGTGGCAAACAATTTTAATATGCGTAATAGAGTAGTTCATTTTCACGTGTCAAACAATTATCAGATTCCTTTCGTTTTTAAGAATTTTTTCGAAATCTACTTTGTATATGTTGTTTAATAGCCGAAAAAGTCTTTTACACAACGAAGTATTATCTGATGGGCGTGAGATATATATTTTTTGCGTTTTATGATCTGAAACTGAAAGCTTTCATGTTTTTACTTCTAAGCGTCTGCGCTACGTTCTTTTTACCGCTGAAATTAGTTCAAGTAACTCTCGGAAGTTCTTTTCACAACTTAGACTCGGCCAGTTTTCTAGATACTTCGATGAAAGTCATCAGAATTCTATAAAAGGTCCTAAGATGTACCACCAAAAGAACAGCTAAAGCCAAAAGATGACGTATTAAATGTATCAAAGAGATTTACGAAGCGACATCAGTATCCATCTGCAGTGTTCGGTTTTATCGTAGAAGAAGGTCAAATCTATAAAATGTAGCGCTCATCCTCTTCATCATTGCAGGCGCATGTTTACCAAACGGTTGGAATGCAAATGGTACAACAGTTGCAGGATCTACTGGCGTTTTAGGTTCAAATGCGAGCCTTCTTGAGTATCCTAATGATGTAGCTATTGATAGTAACGACAGTCTATACATAGCTGACACTAATAATCAGCGTATCCAGCAATGGTCACATGGCTCTTTAACAGGTGTTACGGTTGCTGGTAGCGGTACTATCGGCTCAACCTCAAACGACTTCAGTTTTCCTCGTGCACTATTTGTCGATACAACCAATAACAGCAACAATTTATACGTTGCAGATTTCTATAATTATCGAATTCAAAAATGGAGAAATGGCATGAGCTCTGGCTTTACAGTCGCAGGAGGTATATTATAAAAAGACGTATAACATCAAATTTTTATGTTTTTATTTTGGAGGAAATGGTGCTGGATCAAATTATAGCCAAATTAATGGTTGTTACGGCATATTTATCGACAAAGATAGTTCCATTTACGTTTCCGATAATGGCAACAATCGTGTGATGAAATTTTTATCTAATAGCTCAAGTGGGATCCTTGTAGCTGGTGGAAATGCTTCGAACCAGTTCACCCTTCCGATGGGCATTTATGTCGATAGTAGCGCTGCCATTTATGTAGCCGATACGGAAAATCATCGTATTCAAAAATGGACACAACGCTCTAGTAGCGGAACAACAGTAGCAGGAGGTAATGGAATGGGCTCAAGCTTGAACCAGTTGAGTTTTCCGCGAAATGTGATATGTGACACAGATGGAACTTTGTATATACCTGATACCAATAATCATCGAATTATGAAATGGACAATTGGAGCTTCAAATGGTAGCATCATAGCGGGAATAAGTGGAACATCTGGTACATCGGAAACTATGTTAAATTATCCAAATGGAATTACTTTCGATTCGGACAGAAATTTGTACGTGGCAGATTCAAGCAATCATCGTGTACAAAAGTTTCTTTCATGCACTGGTACGTAAATGGGTGAAGTTGTCCTAAAACTATTGCATCGAACATAAAACGACGTAATATTATTAGGTTTTTTTTTGTTGGTGGTCCACGCTTTTCTAGAACAATTTCTATAAAAAAACTTGCGCGCTTCATGAACATACATGAATATTGACAAAATTCTTAGTATAAGCTTTATTTGTAAAAAAGAAAAGAAGAACTAGAGACCAACTGTCCTGCGGGAAGATTGGAAAGTCGACTGAATGAAACTGTAAACAGACGAAATTAGAACATCCGGAAAGTCATAACTGTCTACATATCTTCTATGGCATATTATTCATTGACATATCAGCTGACTCATTATCGTATTATATATCCTGCTGAAGCTTTTATCTTATCAAGCACTGTAGCATATATTCAGTACGAAATGAATCAAGTAACGATTAATTATCTCATACAGAAAACGGCAAGGTTCTTCAAAAAGATATGCTCATCTTCCAGGACGAATTATAGATGAACTAAAGTATACACAGAAAAATTAAGTTCAGTTGTGTCATCTCCGACTCTTCAACTTTTGAATCATCTTTTTCCCAAATCTGTAACATCAGAGATAATCGAGAACGCGTAGCTGACTCGAACGACAAAAACGGTATGGAAAGAAAGAAAGGCTAGATGACAACTATGCTGCGCATAGATTGGACAGTCGACTGAGTGAAACGGTAAATAGACGAAATTGGAGGATTTTCAGAAACTCACAATAATCTGACTAGTTTTCAAGAAGAATTCCTATGTGCCTATATCAGCTGATTCGTTATCCTTCTACTATAGTATAGCTTACATCATATCCAGTACTGTAGCATATATTCGCTATGAAGTGAATCACGTGACATTTAATTATCTCATAGCAGAAACAGTTTGACTATTTTTCAAGAAGAATTCCAATATTCTTACATCAGCTGATTCATTATCCTGTTATATATTCTGCTACAGCTTTTATCGTATCATTAACGCTGTAGCATATATTCAGTATGAACGGCATCACGTGATGATTAATTATCTCATGGCAGAAACGACAGAGTTTTCTAAAAAATATACTCGGTTTGTGACACTTCCCAAGCAAAAAATCATACACGAAAATACCTAGATATTTTATCGTTATATTGGGCAATCCTACTGTGAAATATCTAGGTATAGGTGTCAATTTTATTGGGTTATCTAGATATATTGGGCATGGTATCTAGTGCATCCCGATACCGTCTCAGTATATTGGGATGCAAAAAAAGGCTGGTGTAGGGAGCTACAGTCCCCAATATATTGGCCTGTTATTGCCCAAAATATTGGGCAATAAAAAGCTAATATATTAAGTGATGTCGATCAATACCATAATTCAGCGGACTATAGCATATATGCTCCCAAAATGTGTTGCTTTGTTATTGAGGGTGAGGGTGAGGGGACCCAACATGTTTATTTGTAAAAAAAATAAATGTAACAAAATGAATAACAAAAACTTGATAGTGGAAAAACAAATAAAAACATTCCCATCTATCAACGTCAATTATGATGATTCTTTTAGGTTCGGATATTTAAAAACATGTATAAGACGATTATCTATGTTACGATGTCCCAGTTTTTGATCGATATCACTTGGTTTAATAATTGCAAGTTCATTTTCATCTATTTGGCATAACCAAGCATTTTTTATATTTTCTGTTCGTTTTGTACCATTTAAAGCATAAAATTTAACTTGAAAATAATCATTTATTTTGAGTGTATTTATAACAATAAAACGATTATCATCGTTATTAACAGTTATTATACATGCTATAAAACCAATAGCTAATTGATTTGTTAGTGGTTTTTTATACAGAACACACGAATCATTCGTCTTTTTTTTAGTTGTTACGATTGTTTCATAACGTACACCATTATAAATAATACAGTCATAATGTTTAATATTCATCAAATATGGTATAGCTGAAAGAGACGTAACTAAGTAATAATAACATTTGAAAAGCAAATATTCTTAGTATGTTCAGAGAAAAGAGCGTACAGTTCATGTGGACTTTGCGTGCTGTTGATATTACCTGAAAAAAATGGTTCATATCGACGATAATATTTTACGACTGGTGTCAACAATGATGTTGCGGTTGACGCTTTTGTTTTTTCATCTAATAAATCTTTAACGTATGAAAGTAATAACAATGGATAAGATGGTGTTTGTATGTGAAATAATGCACCTCGAAATAATTCAATACTCGATATCAATTGCTTTGGATGTTCTACAGTACCATGTGCTAATGATTTTATTATTTTATTCATGTTTTCGAAAAAAAATGTTGTGTATTTATATAATGGTGCTTGACGTTTTAACGATAAATGGACATGTCTCATTGTATGGATGTTACTATTGTGGTGACGAACTGTATATAATGTGTCAAATTCTTTATCAAAATCATCCAACATTTCTGTTACATGTTGAATGTCATTAAGATTCTGATGTTGTCCATTGCCAATGTTCATTGCAAAAACAAATTTTAGAAAATGATTATAAAATTTTTTTGGTAAAAATTTTTCAAAAGCTAAATAAGAAATGCCATCTGCAAGAAATTAGCAACAAAAAATCAATGAAAGAGAAGCAGTGTTTTAAAATTATACATTGTCAGTTGAAAACATTTAGGGAACTAAATTAATTATTATTTATAGTTAACAATGCAGAACTCTATTTATTATAGGAAACTGTTGTTCATTTTTTGCGACAATTCATACACACACTAATAATACTATTTTTTATCTATTGTTAGTAATGAGCCACTCAATGTTGTCAACAACTTATTTTGAG